AAGTTCCCGTGGTTAAATCGGAGAACTTTGGAATTATAAGGATTGAAAATCTTTATTTTCTAGATTTTTTTTGTCATAATAAATCCTGTAGGATAGGCCATGTATTCCTGTAGGTGGTGTAGTTTTGAATTCTTTATTTCTTTAATCCTAAGTCTTCTAATGTTGACCGTAGCATCATGTGGAGGGAACCTAATAGAATATGTTTACAAAGGGAGAATAGGGTGCTAGAGTGACACAAAGACAGAAATCTATCAAGAAACCCAGTGGGAAAAGAACATGTATAATATTGGAATTTGGGCAAATTTTCAGGCATCAAACTACTCACTTGCAGAATGGGTGTGGTTTTTACCATACCATCAAATAAAGAGAATCAATGTAGCATATTAGAAGTCAGTAAGCTTTAGGGTTTTAAAATTCTTAATATGAGTAATGGGCTGGTGTGAGATTCTGTGTTCGCTCTACACTCCAAACTAAATAAAGAAATAAGGATCAGAGAGACCGCTCAGAAGGTACAGGCACTTGCTGTCAAGCCTGACAACCTGAGTTCAATTCCCAGGACCCTCATGGTGGAAGGGGAGAACCGACTCCTGCAACTTGTCCTCTGAGCTCCACATGTACATCATGGCACATGCATGCCACCCCAACCCCCACAAAAAGTTTTAAAAATAGTTATATTAAGCAAGGCAAGAGAGCAACTCAAGTATTCAGTACTCTTAACAGTGTATACAACTTACACTACTCTGGTAGCACTGACTAATGGTCTTTGAATGACATTTTATATTTCTTCATTAAAAAAAAATCCCCAAAACTTTAATAACACGATCCCTACAGATACTTCTGCATACTTTTCTAGATATTTGGGAACGGTCAAACTGTGCTTACAAACTCCTTCCTAGCTGAGCAAGTACCAGATAGAGGACCTGGACATCTGCTCCATACCTGCTTCCGTGTTGTGAAATGAGGTGACTGTACAGTCCCACTGATTTATGAAGGTGAAAGGGAATGTCTTACAGCATGTGTGGCCCATGGTAATCACTGGATAAGTGTTAGCTCCACCACGACTATGGTATTCCAGTCCTTCTAAAGTAAGTGGTATAGAATCTCCTTTGTTGTTCAGCTAATACAATACTGTGCCTAGCTCATTTTCTCCTTGGTACTTAGTTTGTTGTCACTTTTTCAGAACATCAGCCCATTGTGCTTTATACAAAGGTGAGGTTTTTGTTTTGTCCTCTCAGGTAGCTTACCCCTCAAGGTTAAGAGTGAGATTCCGTCTTCTTTTAAACCCTCCTGGTACCCATTTCATTGCTCTGCACATGGTAAGTCTCCAGCTCTGCTTGCTGTATGAATGAATGAAGTGAGTGAAATAATGGTTCTGTGTAGGAGGTTCCAAAAACCTAATCTAGTTGCAGGAACAGCAGCCTAGGATGGTACAGGCTAGTAGCTGGAGGACTTACTGTTCTTCTACAGAATCTTTTCCAAAGCAAGGAGCCAGGATAGGAAAAAGGGAAGCAGAGAGTGAAAGAGATACAAACTGACTTTTGGTAAACATTCTGCAATCCTTTAATGGCACAGAGCCTAACAATGTGTTGGGACATGAGGTCACATGTCAACACCAAAAGAATAGAGAGGGAAAGTTCCCTCAGATGTAGTCTCAAATAGTGTTCCTCTGTGCAAGTCAATTAGTCCAGACTGGGGTATACACGGGCTCATGGAGCGCTGATAATTTTGGAAGGAAGTTAAAACATCCATGTCAGCAACAGTACAACCCAGCCAGGTTACTAGGAGGTAAAGTCCTGCTTTCCCCTCTCTGGGAACTGTGCTCACCTTTGTCAGTGATTTCCCTTATTTTCTCATTTAGGTATGAACACCAGCAATGCTGCTCCCCCTCCCACTCTCACTTTCCAGCATTCCTTCTCGCCTCTTATTTCTCAATGTCTCTGACTTCTTTCCATCCATGTCAACCTCTAGCCTAGTGTTCTTGACCTCCTTTAACTCTGGCTTTGTCTCAAGGACAAGAATCTGGCTCTTCCCAGGATGCTCTGATGCTGGCTCTCTCTGCAGTGTTCTTTCTTTTACTCTCTCTGATTCTTTGCATTCTTGTACCAGTTGTGAAGACTTTGGCTAGATTCTGATAATTCACAGCAAAATCTACTTACGTAAATTTCTTGGCCTTTGTTTCATCGTTTCTATAAATTGTAACAATGCTACAGGTAAGGGGAACAAAACAGAACTTTTCTTCTCTCCAGTTCTGGCCCAAACTGTAAATAAACCCATTTTTTTCCTTTTTCACAAAAAAAACGTTTGATTAATTTTATTTGTTACAGTGAATATGATGAAATGATCAGGTTTTCTTTTTTAAAAGAATGCTGTGTGTTACAATACTGAATATTCTTTTTGAAACTACTATTTCTTAATGTCGTACTTAAATCACTACCATCACCAGATACTCAGCATTAACCTCTTCAAGCATATAGTTACCTATGGGAACTTCTCTTTTCACATTATTTCCATTCTGGGGGAAGCTTTTTACAAAAAAAGGAGGGGCCTACCATCTTGGTCAGCCAGCCCTCTTTGCCCTTTCATTCTATGAATTTTTCATTCATATTTGTTCTCTACTCACACTGAGTACCTCTGTGCGCCAGTGCACTTTGGGACAAGCATCCAGGGACTGGGAAGGAACTGGGGAGGGCCTTAGGGAACTTCTGCCTGGTGCTTCCCACTGACCCATGCTTGCTTTAGCATTTTTCTTCCTTCTTTTTGAAAGATAGTTGAGAATAACTATTCATATAAATCCAATTCAAATAAAGTGAGAGTATTTTTAGAATACTACCCATCCACATTTTGAAACCCTCCATGAATAATGTGACCCTGTTCTGTTCTGTGTAAATACAGTCTTCTGACCCAACCCAGAAAAGTAGTTGTGCCATGTTATTAAGTCTCTGGAATGTATTTGGTTTAAAATTTGCTTGCTGGCTATAAAGAGCATGGGAAATCTGATGGTAGGGCCCCGGGATTGTCCTAGGACCACAGGCTAACCTAAGACCTTATGTGAAACCATCCACTGAGAACATAATTGCCTCATCCCACCCTGTCTACACCACACATTTTGACCCTCTTGGGATGACTAATATCTCTAAATCCCTCAACTAGCATTTTGAGCCTATTGGACTCTGACAACATTATACATTTAACTTACTGTGGGGTTCTGATTGGAAGAATACAGAGATATGACAATATTAATGAACAATATCAAGTAATATAGTACCATAAAATAAAGCTCTGAGAAACAGCACCAAATAAGGTTTCCTTTTATCCATTTATTATAATTCATCTTGTCCAAATCATTTACAAGTATGTGCTATGCACTCTCTACCACCTTCATCACAGTAATGGTATAAGATATAAAGTACTAAAACTTCTTGAAGCCTCAAATTCTTTATCTGAAATTTGGGCAAACTGTAATTTGCCCAAGGTCAAGAAGCTTGGAATTAAAACACAGCCTGAAAGTCTGCCATCTAAAATGTTTTGCTGTGCAATTTCCTATTGTTTATTGAACATGAGAATACATGAGAAATTGCTCAAGGCCTCAACATTAAGATCCCCTAACATTCAAATAATTATGATGAGATGAGAATACAAAAAAGCTGTGTACAATATTATTATTCAAATCAATTATTATTATGATGATTATTATTCTATATGCCAGTCCTACTCTCAGGTCAAGCATTTCATTCAGGGACTTTCCATGCTTGAAGCAACAGGTGGAGATAATGTTGCCTAGAGTTAATTCCAAGGGTGCAGAGAAGGGATGCCTTCCCACTGATGGCCTGTCCCCAGTGTCTGGGTGTGACCAGACGCCAGACCCTTCTTTCTGATGAAGGTTCTACTTTGTACCACAATGAGCAATTGGTGCACTCTGGCTCTATCCACATTTTTGAGGAAGCCAGAGTAGAGTTGTCTCTTAAGGACTATCTTCATGCATCTTATTTTTTAAGATACAATTAATAACTACAGTTACACTACTAATGTAGAACTAAGAGCAACAATTGAGATTTCAGTGATGTTAGTACTAGTGTCAACCCACATAACTTATTTTAGTTGTGTGGTTGCTGTAGCCATAGGTATAGGGTACGTGTGTGTGTGTTGTTGGTTTGTGTGTGTGTGTGTGTGTGTATGTGTATGTGTTTGAGACAGGGAGACAGGATCTCCCTGTAGTCCTAGTTGTCCTGGAACTCACTATATAGACCAGGCTGACCTTGATCTTGCTCAGATCCTCCAGCCTCTGCCTCTGGAGTGCTGGGGCCACCATGCCCTGCTGTGTGTGTTTTGTTAGGACAATTGCCCTTTCTTTTCCCATGAACTTAGGTGACTTCATTTTCTTTCTATTTAGCATCCCCCACACACTGGACATGCTATTGTCTGTCTGGGCTCAGGGGGCTCTTAAATCACTTACTATGTATTCATCCTCCTTCACCCAGTATCTACACTTTGGTTATGTTTCCAAATTAAAAGCCATTTTAAGGCATTCGAACAGTAAAATACACATTTGATCAACATTATATCCTGATCACCTTTATTTTGGGGGCAGGGATTGATTTGATTTTTTTTTTCTGGATTAGAATGGTTCATTTCTAAGGTATCTGCTCTGCGATTTCCTAACAGTTTCTTTCATGATCCTTGACTTCCACCCCAACACCCCACCCCCTGCCTTGCAGAAGGACACATGCACTTCGTAGACTTAGGTACATTAGACATTAGAGATATTCCAAAGCCTCAAGTTTCAACTCTCAGTATCTAAACCCGATTTCCAAAATAGAACTTTTTCTCCAAGTTTCTGATGACAGTGGGAA